GGGGGATTGCTCGTCTTCCAGAAGCAATGCCAGAATTCATCTCCGGAAAGAAGGAAGGTAAAATACCAAGGGGGGAGCAATCAGCGAAGTTATCAGTAACATACAGGTTGGATGTTTTACACAGAGCAGACACTTGTTGCACTCCGTTGGGAGAGGACATTCACTTGTTTGACCACAAGGGGGCACTCTGAGACTGTGTGTGAAGTGGGGCCGACAACCACATTTCCACCAATTTCACTGAAACAACTGTGACAACAAAACAGTCAAACATGAGGACAAAATTAATTCAACGTGGATACATGTTAAAGTCTAAAAGGTATGATTGACCTTGCCTGTGTCCACTGCAAACTGTATGTGTTTTTTTTGGGTTCTTACTGTGGACATTTTATTTTTGAGCCACTGGATGGGCTTACAGTTCATCAGTAGTCAACAGCGGTGTGTTGCGTTAATGAGTCAGTGGACCATAACTCACAACAACAGGGCACTCCACTACACATTCTGATTTACAGAAATAGTCTCCATGAGTCGTAGGCACTGGTGAGTATGTGCAATACATAAACGTAGGAAAGTGACCTGGACGTACAAACACTGTAACTGTTATGTCAGATTGTTATTTTACATATACAGTTTTGGGAGAATACTGCAATGTGTCTTGGGTCACCGAGCACCACCGTCAAATCTACGTGTAGAGACATATGCCGTTAAGGTTTTTAAAGAGCTGATACAGTTATATTGGTGCTTTTTTTTATTATTTGGTGATTTTTAAAAAAAACTTTTTTCCTCTGTTTCACAATGGTTTATGCATCTTAACTATTACACCGATGAGAAAAGAAATACTTATGCACACATACATACGCATGTTGCCAAAACCCTTACTAGTGTTGAATATATTAGAATAATAGTCACTGGAAAATGTGTGCTGAATATGTTTAAAATGTTAAAGCAAGAAAAGATGTTAAGATTGTTTCAAAAATGACTAAGATGTAAGACTGAACTAAACCTCAAAAAGAGACATGATTTATATTGTTTTTACATGCTCTAATTTCACACCGTCAAACAATTCTGAATCTAACCCATATTTTAATAATTTCTGCTCAAAAGTCTTGCAATATGCCCATTGTAAATTTGCTAAAATGAGAAAGTAACATTACCTCCATATGTCAAAAATCAGTACGCACAATACCCAGTACACTTTCTTTTAACTTTACATTTTCTATTTTAAGCATGTTTACATAAGCACATTGCACCAGATAAAAAACCTCCTGACTGAGTACCTCCACAACACAATAAAATCATTTTATTTTAGCATGCTGTTTGTGATTTGAAAATACATTTTAGACTGAAATGACTACGTACAGTGTATCCACATTTCATGACGTTGAGCCACATGAGACCGCATTTGTCTGTTTCACCCAAGAACTGCAAAACTCTTGCTCCCTGTCTGCTGTCTGAGGTGAGTTTAAGCAAAAGAACATTTAAGAAAACGACTCTCTCTCTCGGTCAGGATTTTCATTGTCCTTCAATCCATTTTGGCTTTTTCTGGCAGGTCGGTTATGATTTTTCCTGTTGCCACTAATGTGCTTTGTGGAAAAGAAAGCGGTGGATGCAGAACGTATGTTATGACAGATGTACTTAGTGCTGAGTGCTGTGTTATTGTGTTTAGTCTAGTGAACACATTCAAATGTTTCTGTCCATGGGATATTTCAATGCTGTGTTTTATTCCACCTCACTTAAAATGCCTACAAAGAAAAGAACAATAGGAGGACCAGGGAAGTTTTAATGGACCTATTTTTGGTGCAATTAAAGGTGCATTTCATTTTCTTTGTTTAGTTTTTTTATTATTTGTTCATTCAGGTCCACGCTGCCAAAAGTCACATGGACTCACAAATAGGCAGAATGGGACTGTTTAACAAAACATGATGAACTTGCCTCTTTATGCTCTTTGTGGTAATTTCCTCTCTCTGCTGATCATATCAGTTAAGAACACACACAAAAAACATCTGAGAATGAAAATTAGTCTAGACTGCAGTTTACCCTCAGTCATTTTATTATACCAGGAAAGACTTTGCTACACATGGCTATCAAATGTCAACATCTGCCTCCTTATATCCTTGCATTTTGGGACTGATTTATGTCTGTTCTGACTAAGTCCACATCTATCAAACTTCTACAAATTACACTAAAATATGCCATTAAGGACCAAACAATTCTCACCAAGTGACCTCCTCCTCCTTACAGCTATTTATAGGGCTGGTGCAAATAAAGACATCTGTGCTGTGGAAAGAAAGGGAAACAAGACCAGAGTGGAAAAAATGTAAACATACAAACATTTCTATCTATCTGTCAATCAGAGACTAGAATATAAACTACATCTACCCAATTGTTCATTCTTTTTTTTTTTTTTTAACTTACATTTTCCAAGGGATATCTGCAACCATACTTGTTTGTTTTGTTGCAATAAACAATTAATATCATATATAAATAGAGATGAAATAATAGTAAATTGACTGAAAATCCAGACTGGTTTTTCTTCATAATAACAGGGAGTTTAGTAGCACAACGTGAAGTGCCAACATTAAAAGTGGCATGACATCCTATAATGTGCTCTGGAGCTGAACAGCTGAAAATATTAAGCAAAACTATACAGTTCTAAGTAATATTTTTTCAGATGTTATTTGTGGTGAGTGATGCTTTATTGCAATAACATGTCTCAGATATTGTGTCTGTCTTCACATGGCAGCCATCTTAAACTCCCCACAGGCTTCTCTTAGCCAGTTTAGGAGACGTCTAGCGATCTCTCAAATTCCAGAGCATTTTAAAGACAGAATATATTATAAATAGCTTATATCTTGAACTGTGCGAATAGGAGTAAGTGAAGGATTTTTGCTGTTAGATGTCACTTGAATTTGAGTAAAATTTCACTTTAAAAGAGTACACCAGTTTAGCGTTACACTCGTATAAAATATCTAAATTGATGCAGCAGAACCAGAGATATCATCATCTTTATTCCACACATTAATATTTACTGTCAAAACATGGCTTATATACATTTCCCACAATGCAACTCGACAGCCAACAGTTCTGTGTGTTATGCTCGTAGCGGCTATTGTAGCCTCTAGCTGCTAGCCTCAAGAAGAAATGAGGAGGTCTACTTTCTAACTCCACACCCTCAGATTTCTTTCATTTTCACGTTACTTCCTTCTGGAGCCACAAAAAACTCCATACAACTGTTTTTACATATGCAGTAGCACTCCCTAAGATCTGTCAACAGACATTCATTGTAAAATCGGTGGAGTTTCCCCTTGAGCCGTATGATAAATACGGGTTCTACCTTTGTAGTTGGTTTGTTGATTGTCACCTCAGGTTCACTGGAATTGTTCTCACCTGACCAATTTTACCAGTGTTTTCATTCTTAAGATGCATAATAGCACTGCCTATTACTACTCAGGGTCAGGGAGGAAACTGGAGCCTTCCCAGCATGTCTTGGATGAAAGGCAGGAAGACTCCCAACACACTTTGTCACTCCATAACACACTGAGAGAGGCACATATTCAAATTCCCATCCGTGAGAAGAAACACCACGTAGGAAAAAGCAGTACCAGCCAATAGATAGAGTTAGATTAGATAGAATATTTTACATACATCCCTGCAGCTCTTTTCTTTCTTCAGCTTCAAACCCTTAATCCAAACCCCGTTTTCTGACCTGGTGCACTTATAGGGCTGCACAATATGGTAAAAAAAAATATATAGTTTAATTTGTTGGGGTCTGTACCAAATAAACAAAACTAAAATATTTTCTTACATCCGGAGAATAAGATTTGTAGGCCAGCTGTGTGCTGGAAGCTTCTGTGTAGGAACCCATCGGAAGTGCTATCCGTTCCACGCGATGGCCCACCTGACAGGCAGTGTTGTTTTTAAAATGAAGCTACATGACAGCGAAAAACCACTCAACCGTTGCACAAACACCGCATGTGTGTCAGTTGTATGTCAGCCATTTTGGTCAATGAATGTCTCAAGTTTGTGGTGCTTGATCATTTTTTTGCAGCTATGTGAGCAGAATGTTAAACCACGAAGCAGAAATAATGAATTTAATAAAGAATTCCAAAACTTTAAATTGCCTTAATTTGATGCTATCTGTTTTGTCTTCCTTCCATCTTGATTTTTCACCGTGTCAGAGTGTAAAAATATGAGTCCTTATATGAACCGCAACACTGAACCTCTGTCTCTGCGTCAGTCATCTACAGCAGTTGCTGCGTAGCCAATTGTGTGCAATCATTCTCTATAATGGGCCAGCATGTGTAGAGAGAGAAGTTAGATAATCTTTTATCTACCTCACACAGAATGGGGTCTCGGGTTCTTTGAGGTCTCCTATCCACTTCTTTGGCCTTTAAAATTACACTTGGATGTTCACTTCAACGTGTACCTGAGGTCTGTTTTGCTGCTCAGCTGAGCTCCATCTCCTGGGGGTGTTTTTAGAATTGTGCTGTTGAATGGAACAAAACCTTGCCAGCGTGTCATTCATAAATTGGCAACATAGGT